GAGAACAATCATGGGAGAAAGAAGGGCTGTTTATAAACAGGAAGACACTCAGGGGGCAGGAGTGCATGGAGGGATGGGCACAGGGAAGAGGTAACTATCAGGAGGAAGTGGGAAAGGAGCTGTTTCACTGTGGTAAATTGTAGACAATGTCATGAGACAAAGTGTATGTGAACTGCTGTATGGAAAGTGAATTTGCTCTGTAAATCTTCACCCAAATCACATTTTTTTTTTTAAAAAAAAGGAATACGTTAGGGAATTTAAAGATAGGTTATAAAATCATTGATCAAATGATATTGTACAATATCATCCCATTTAGAAAAAAAATAAAATCTATGTTATGCTTTGGTGGAAAAAAAAAGACCAGAAAGAGACACTAAGATGTTAAGAGTGGTTATTTATTGTTAGTTGGCTTATAGGTGATTTTCAGTTTTGCTTTATTTTAGAAGATCTTTTCTAAATTGTTGACAGTTTTCTCCTTGATGTATGTACTTTTTTCTAATTAGAAAAAAACAATTTTATTTAGGATAATGTGTAGAATAATAAAGTTCACTGGATGGCACGAACAATTACTTGGTTACTAACCGAAAGGTTGGCAGTTCAAAACTACCCAGAGGCACCTCAGAAGAAAGGACTGGCCATCTGCTTCTGAAACATCAAAGCTATTCTCTATCACAAGGTGTCACCAAGAGTGGGAATCAACTAGACAGCAATAAGTTTGGATTTTTTTTTGTAGAATAATAACTTGAGGGTTCAAACCCACTAGCCACTCCTCAGAAGGAAGGTGGGGCAATCTACTTCTGTAGTGATATCGCCTCGGAAACCCAAGGAGGGGTCGCTATGAGTCAAAATTGACTCGACAGCTGTGAGTTTTTTGATAATAACTTGACTGGGCCATGGAAGTAGCCTCCTAACTAGTCTCCCCACTTCCACTGTTGCCTCCTACTATAACTTCTTTTCCCCAAAGTACTTACAATAAAATCCAGATTTCTTACTGTAACCTCTAAGGATTTATCATGGCCTTGGCCCAACCTACATTTCCAGCCTTACCTTCAGCCACATTTCACCAGGTTCATTCTACTCTAACCACACTGGTTTTCCCTATCTTGATCTCTCCAAACTCTTCCCATCCTCACATTTGCTGCCTGCCCCCTTGCACTTAGAAGCCTTACAGTTCCTTTCCCCAACAATACCCTCTTTGCCTGGTTAAGTTCTGGACATCTTTCATGTTTTAGCTGAAATGTTAACTTCTTAGGGAAACCTTTTCTGCCCCCTAGACTAGGCTTGATTTCTCTGATATTCTCAAAGCACCCATTCTTTAACTTCATAGCACCAACAATAAGTTGAAAAAAAATATTTATGTGTTTACTTAGTTATTGTCTCCCTTGATAAACTGCTTGCTCCAGGAAGGGAGGAAACATATGTGCTTTGCTCATTGCTATATTCCCAGCACTTTAACACAGTGCCAGGCCTGTGGTACGTGCTCAGTGGCTATATATTTAAAGAGTGCATAAATGAGTGAGTAAGTGAGTGAGTGAGTGAGTGAGTGAATAAATGAATTATTTAAACCCCCCTCAAAGCTACCGCAGATTATGGAGCAAAAGAATAAGGTAAAGAAGTTCATGAAGGAGAAACATATGCAGGCTAATGACATACCACAATTTTGGTTTTAACTTTCAGTCCTCCTTATAATGGCTAAGATTCACTGGAAAATGCTGACAAGATAAATTTCCCTTTGGATTCTCTTTTCTGTATTTCCATTAGTGGACTATTCTCTTTAAAGAAAGAAAATCCTGTGAATTAGCTTAAAAATAAAACAATAACAATACAACCACTGTAGTTGAAACTTCTGAGGCCAAGGACAGTGAAGTAGGATGATTTTAAGATAGGAATAAATTACTGTATCACATTTCATTGTTCTTGAAGCTATGTTTCATTATATAATTGATACAGCATCGCATAACCAAACCCAGTTAAAGTTGGCCTGGATATGCTCTATCTTCTCTTCCAGGGACAACTTGTATACAGTCAGTCAGCTTGAGTAAAAATGGGCCAGTACATATGAAAAAGAGATAGGTCTTTCACTGACTCACTGCCACTCTCTAGAGAAGAAAAATAGTGGTTACTGCTTAGGTTTGCCCCAGAGTTTACACTCTAGGGTTTAATCTTAAATTCTTAAAATACAGCCTTAAAAAGATGCTAATGTAAACTTTCACCCAAATCACAATGAAAAGTTTTTAAAAAAGAAAAAGATACTAAGGCCATAAAGAAAGCAAAGTAGGACTCTCTTTTGATCATATCATATCATGGACTTCACTAGCTTCCTTTCATTTAATCTCACCCTCAACATTTGCTCCCACAAAAGAGAGTCATGGTGATAACTGACATTTGAAATTCTGTACAACAGTTTAGTGTTTTAGCATAGGCACTTTTTTCCAAATCTCAATTGTTTTTTTCCATTTGATCTAGTCACAAACTAGATGCCCAGTAGTTATTTTAACTCTACAAAATCTTTGAGTATTTATTCCCTTAATATTTCACATAGGAATGATGAACATCTTTTAGTTGTTCATGTTTTTTTCAAAATTCACTCTGAGATAATTCCACAGTTCTGTAATGATTTGTGAAGACCAAGTCTACAAGCTTTATAATATAGTATGGTAGTTAAGGTTGTATGTCAACTTGGATGGGCCTGGTTTTGAGTGCCTGGGCAGCTGGATGTAGTTATTCCCCATGGTGAAATTGGTAATTAACTGCTTTAGGGATGTGGGCTGCTTCCAGTATATAAGAAGCAACTTTGAGAAAGGTCTCCAGTTGATGGCATGCTTGAACCCTGCTTACAGCCAAGTCGTTGTTCAGCAGCCTGCCATGTTGCCCTGCCAATCTTGGGACTTTTAATGGACTTGAATTAATGCCCTGCCATGTGGTTTTGTAATATAAGGACTGTGCCTTTTCACTTGTCAACCTTGGGTTTGTCAGCCTCAGCAGCTAGCAGCTGCCTCAGTGAAGAGATGCCTCTAGCTTCAGTGGGCCAGGAGCAAGAGGCTGAGCTGAAGCTTAAGGTCCAGGGGCTTTCACCCAGCCCCTAGAGCTTGGCACCTGGAACTCGGACTTCTAACCTCCAAAACCATAAGAGAATAAACTCCTGTTTGTTAAAGCCATCCCCTTTGTGGCATTTCTGTTAAAGTGCCACTAGGTAACCAAAACATATAGTTTATTCATAAATAATTCTGAAATAAAACTTAAGCAATACAGTGCAAAAGAGGCAAGGGGCATTGGCACAATTCACAAATATAGGAATGTCCAGTTAAGAAGAAAGATAGGAAGTGAGAGAGAAAAGGATTTGTAAATGCACCACACTTTTCTTTATATTCCTTTTAAATGTCAAATATTTCAATTGACTAAATATAAACAGTATCCCAAAAGGCATTGTTAATAATTATTAGTGCATATAAGGAACATTATTTTTAACCTTACTAGATCCAAGCATTGAAAGCAGGACTGAGGAAGCCAAATAATACTGTATATCGAGTACTTTGTTTTCAAGTGGTTAGTGTGATGCAGCAAACTCTTTATAGTCCTTTGTTACTTGTATATTTCAGAACAATAGTGAAAACTCAAATAGAGAACACTGTATCATTTGATCAAGTCAATGAAAAGGCAATCAAATAAACTTTTGTGGTGATAATAATGTCCAATTGCTATGCAACTGATTGCATCATGGTGTAATCGACTGACTTTAGTTCTTCAGGCTACTGAAATTAGTGGACCAGCCATTTCATGGTGATATTTCAGTTATTTTATTGACCATGTACTAATTGGTTAACCTATAAATATTCTATCCAGCGATCACCATGAAATGTAATAGCTCATTAGTATGAAAAAACAATAGTTCTTAACAGATTCATAGAATGATCAGAATATCACTAGAATTAAATTTAGGTCCTGTAAGAATAATAAAGACAACATAGAAAACATTAATCAGTTTTTTGGGTTTTACATTTTTACCAGTGCCATTTGATCACTTTTCTTCTTTATTTATGTAGTTTCAGAAGAAATTAATAAGATCAAACTCTCTTTTAATAGGCATGGTGACTTCGAGAGTCCCAGATTCTAGAATATAGACAGCTTTGGCATTGTTGCATTCAACAGGATAAGGAAGGGTTAGCAACAGCTTCCTAAACAAAACAAAACAAGAATCTAGAATCAGCTTCCTAAAGTCAAATCAAGAAGATATTACTTTTAATAAGACAATAGAAAGCAATACATGCCATCAGAATAATGCTAGAAACCAAAAACATGAATTAGACGGTGTAAGTACTACATCAAAAATATTCCTCAATAACACAAATAGTATATTAGTTTAGGGCCTTCAAAATTCAAGCATTTGTATTGACCTCCCTCTCTATTTTTTATCAATTGACCCCATTTTTGCATTGTATAAAACATCGTCTTAAACTATGTTTATAGGCACAGAACTAGAAACATTGCCACCGTAACTTGGTAATTGCCCGTCATACTTATGTGTAGATGGAATATGGCTGACTGATGCCTGAAAACTGGAGTGATTCTGCTAACACAACTTCAGTATGAGCTTCTACCACAGGGTTAGTTACTGAAATGCAGATCTGAAATGATTTCAATATCAGATCAATGAAAGTGCTCCTCTCTGCTTGCTTCTGGTTGCTTCTGGTTCTTTCACTGACAAAAATTCTCTATGATAGATTGCTGGGTTTATTTTGCAGTTTGCGCCTCAGATGCTGGATAGTTGTATGCTTTAGATGCATTTCTGGGGATGAGACATCCATAATTCTGACACAGTGGCATGAATCTGAATTATGCATGGGGTCAGCACATGCTGATATCTGAAGAAAATTAAATGCATAGAACACTTGTTAGCTTGCATTCTTGGTAGAGAAGGCCTGAATATCTCTATAAAAAGTGGATTCAAAAGCTCTCTCAGAAGGTATGAGATCCAAATCAGTACAGAAATACAGTATTTTTAAGGAACACTTATTGAGTATGTGAACAGAGAACTACCATCTGTGAACAAAATCCTTGAAAATCAATTCCTTCTTTATTCATTTGCAAAGGCCTAAATTCAAGAGACTGGGCTCATTAAAAGTATTTATTACAAATCTCTGGAACCTAAAGGAGAATTTTTCTGTGACCCTTGTTCCATTCCAGATATTTGGGGTAGGAGAAACGGCTTCCTCCATCTGAAGTAACGAAATAGCAAGTACTCTTAATGTAGCCTATGACATTTGGCATCTCAAAGAGAAATGAACACAAAAAATATTCAGAGTCCATCCTTTTAAAGCTGTTTATATTATAGGTTGTGCTAGGAGTTATATTTGCTTTATTTCTTATTCTATAAATTGTAATAATTTACTTTATGAAGAAACCAAAGCTTAGTGGTGGTAGCTTCACTGTGCTAAAAGACAACTATAAATCAATGGAAGAAGTAGTTCCAATGATAATATGCACTTCTCTGTCCAGAAAGAAATAAATTCAAAAGAGACAGTGGCCATTGGAATGATCCATCTATCTCTGCATTTCTGTCTAGTCCTTAGTAGTATGACTTCACATACTAAAATTTTGAACAACAGAAACTCTGCAACCTATTAGACTCTTGGGAGACAGGAAGTATTTTTGTACAGTCTATTTTGCTGTCTGATATATGAACTGAGATTTATACTTAAACAAAATAAAATTTTATAAGTACTTAGCCATGTACAATTCATTGAATGATAGGACTGTATCTTATCTTGTGTTCTCCCAGTGTCTGGCAGAAGACTTCATTGAGTGGATGAATAAATAAGTAAATAAAAATTAAATATTCAAGTCACCACAAAAATGACATTTGAATAATTACTATTGACTAGCATTGCAAGATATGAATAAATATTTAAACCCAATCTCTGTCTTTGTTGTTATTGTGTGTTGTTGAGACGAATCTGATATATCAATCTTATATGACAGAATAGAACTGCCTCATAGGGATTCCTAGGCTGTAAGCTTTATGGAAGCAGATCACCAGGTTTTTTCTCCCATGGAGCAGCTGGTGGGGTCAAACTGTCAAATTTTCAGTTAGGCAACTGCTTAACCATTGTGCCACCAGTGCTCCCTCCTCTGTCTTTACATTGATAATCTATTTGGTTTCTAAGAAGTTACTATTCAGGCATTGGTCAATGTTCATCCAGTGTTAATTCTAATTAGAAATTATCCAATTTCCTCCATCTTTTCTTCTTTCTATCTATACTTTGTTGGGAATCTACATGCCAGAACAACCAGTTGGGGAGGGGGGGTTGGGGAAGGAGGAATTCAATGAAATGCTTTTTTTTCTTTTGGTTATATAATGCTAAATATCTGAGTTTTATTGATAATTCTAATGCATTTGAATGTTATTTGACTGATGTGACTAGTCAATGCAGTTCAAATAACTTCACTTGTTCTGCCTGGTAAATATATGAACAGAATGTCCTATCTTACATTTTTCTTGAAGTGCAGAGGTAAATAACAATAAACATAGTGTTACAGGATGTCAGAGTTGGAAACTAAAGAAAAACCATAAAAATCAAACTCATTGCCATGGAGTAGATTCTGACTCATAGGGACCATATAGGACAGAGTAGAACTGCCCCAAAGGGTTTCCAAGGCTGTAATCTTTATGGAAGCAGACTGCCACATCTTTCTCCCATGGAGTGGCTGATAGGTTTGAACTGCTGACCTTTTGGTTAGCAGCTGAGCACTTAACCACTGTGGCACCAGTGCTCCTCCGAAACTAATGAAAAGTATGAATATAAAAAAAAATTTTAAAAGATGCTATTATAGGCACAATACTGCAAAAACAGCAATAATAATAATTTACTAATGGATACATAGATAGACATACAATCTGAATAAGAGTGGGAAGGCAAATGGGACTATACTTACAAATATATACATAACTTTGACACAGGGTATTTCTACATATGTATTTAGTCGTGCATACAGGGGACAAAGTTATGAAAGCTTCTTAGCTATAACCAAACACCTTGAAGGAATGAGTCACTGGTCTGGAGGCTCAGGACCATGGTCTCAGGGGACATCAAGGTCAATAAGCACAATATAGTCCACAAAGAAAATGTTCTACATCCCACTTTGGTGAGTAGCAGCTGGGATCTTAAAAGCTTGTGAGTGGCGATCTAAGGTGCATCTATTGGTCTCTCCCCAGGCAGTGCAAAGAAGAGTGGAGAAAATCAAATATACATTTAGTATCTCAGAAACAATTAGTCCAAAGGACTAATGCACCACACTAACAAAGTATCCACGACTCTGAGACAAGAACTAGATGGCACTTGGCTACCACCATCAACCTCTCTGAAAGGGATCACATTAGAAGGTCATGGGTAGAGTGTGTGTGTGAGGGGGGAATATGGAACAAAACTCAAAATATAAACACCAGGACCTTAGTCACCCATAGGACTTGGAACTGAGCTCATCTTTGTGGCTCAGTTTTCAGTCAAACAATAGATAGGTCTGCAAGGTAAACAATAACACTAGGAAGGTACACACTCCTTAGAACAATCAACCATTCAAGATCAAAAGGGCAGCATTTGCCCATGGACAAAGTGCAGAAGGCAGGAATGTACTGGAAAGGAGGAATCGAAATGGGAAACACAGGGAGGAAGTGGGATGAGTGATGTTACACTGGGGATTGCAATCAATGGCATGAAACAAAGTATGTATGAATTGTTGAATGGAAAACTGATTTGCTCTGTAAATCTTCACCCAAATCACAAGAAAAAGTTAAAACCCAACAAAGAAAAAAAATATGAGACACATTTCCGATAATACATTTTCAGTTAATAGCATGGCTCCAAAAGACACTCAAGTGTTTAGGAAAAGTGATTTAAAAAAAAAAAAAAAAAAACTTAATTCAATCTTCTATTTTCTGTCTTCTATCTTAATTAATGAAGTTTTCTTAAAAGACAGTATTCTCTGCATTGAGTATTTAACATATAAGTAGAATATGAATCAAATCTCATAAAGCCAGCGTTCTATGTGGAAAAGTATCTCTCCGTAAGTCTTTCATTTAATGGGTTCTGATAGACATCTGGAATGACAGCATAGCCAGAGCAGCTGACTAAAGATTGATGGAGACAGTGAGAACTGCTAGGGAAACGGAAATTAACTCCATGGTGTGTAGATATGTGTATGCTTTTAACAAGTGCGCAAATAAAAAAGATTGACTGTTCATTTAACTAACTTTCCTTGCAAAGGTTCTGTGGAAGAATTAAATGCATGTATAATATGCGATGAAAAAAGGTACACTACTCCTTGAAGTGAATGGCAGGAATAGAGAATGTAATTTTTATAACAGGCAACTTTTTTATGATAATATATTTTTGAAATTACAGAAGTAATGAGAAAATATTTGATATATAAATATTCATCTGTAGATGATATTACATTAAATGCATCTACTGTAGAATTCAAGATCAAGTTATGTACATTGCACATGGGGATCTTTTGTAGGAATTTACTTTTTATTTTCTTGAAGCCCTAAGGTCAACAAAGTAGAAGTATAGTTACTGATAATGGAAGGACAGGAATGTGCTAGCAGCTGCCTGCTCCTCTACCCAGTATGAAATGCTCATGAGTTACAGAGAAAGAACCACTGCAATCAACTAATGTATGCTATACATCCAAATGAAAACTGAACTAAACAATCAGATATTTAGATATTTTATCTAACACACACCAGGTTCCATCAATTACCTCTTTAGAGAGTTAGTTTGGAAAGACAGGACTGATTTATCCATATTCCAGGATAAATATTTTTTATCAGATTTTACTATATATATTAGGTTTCAGGAACATAATTCCTGTGTAACAATAAAACTCTATTTGAAAATCTGCAAATATTTAACTAAATTACTCCATAATCATCTGTATTATTTTGCAACCTGAGGATCTGGGGATAAATTAGCTGTTGGAATTTTCATTTTAAGCAATTGATGGCAAGACCTTTTGTTGATGTTTGAAATGAACATAATCAAATTTAACCTTAGAGCTCCATAACATGCAACAAATTTAAAGACATTCCTTCTAGTATTCACAAAATTTAAAGATATTGCATCTCTTAGGACAACACTGTACAAAAAACTACATGTTAAGACTGGTTTTCACTTCTAGCCATTATTCCTGATAGACAAACTGTACATGGATGTCAAGGATTGTGTTCTGATGGGATCAGCCCACTTTACACACCTGGGTACAAAGTATTAAAAGATGCACACCTATGTTCATCGCAGCACAATTCACTATAGCAAAGAGTTGGAAGCAACCTAAATGCCCAACAACGGATGAGTGGATAACCAAATTATGGTACATGCACACGATGGAATACTATGCTACATTAAAGAACAATGAGGGATACGCACATCATCTCACAATGTGGATGAGCCTGGAGGACATTATGCTGAGTGAAATAAGTCAATTGCAGAAGGACAAATACTGTATGAGCCCCTTACTGTAACAAACAAAAAAGGGTTTGCTTGGGACACGGAACTCACTTTGTAGATTACCGGGGTGGGGAGGGAAGGAAAGGGATTAATTTCAGGCTAGTTGGGGCCCACACGCTGACATGGGTAAAGAGAAAGATGTATAGAAAGAATCTGTGATAACATTAGGGAAAGGGAGGACACCAAATTGTGCACATAAGAGGTAGAAGACAGATGCTAATACCAACCAGTATATCCACAATACTGCATTACCATTACACCAAACACTAGGCTACAGATAAACACATAAACATCTGAGAGGATCAGATGGGGGTCAGTGAACAGGAGTGTACTCTAGACCAAGGATAGATTCAGGAGAGGCTAATCTTGCACAGATACCAGTGATACAAAATACCTGCAATCATTACAGAAACAACAGAAAACAGACATAGAGTAATCCCTCACAGACACTTGAGCACTGTGGGAGAGATCCAATGGATCTACTGACTCAGGACCATAGTACTAAGGGACACCAGACTCAATTGGCACAAGAAAATACATAAAAGTATTGTTCTTCATTTTACATTGGTGAGTAGCAACTATGAACATAATATTTTTGTTCATAGTCACACTATTTACAGTAGCTGAAAGGGGTAAATGACCCCCATGACCATCAACAGATAGATAAACAACCTGTGGCATATCCCTACAATAGAATATCAGTCATAAAAAGAAATGAGGCACTTATACATACTACAACTTGGATGAAACTTGAAAACATTATGCTAAGAAACCAGACACCAAAAGGCCACATATT